GCGAAACTCCCAAGGCAATCCATAATAAAAACGGAACCTGTAACTCTCTTTCCAGCTCATAGAAGCATTCTGTCATCAAAATATGGGCGAGCGAATATCATTGACTTCACTCGGTATCGTAACAGTCGTTACCGGACATGAAACCATGGAACATCTGAAGAATGCCGCGCATTATCATCAAAAAATCTTACTCCACTCTTTACGCGCATCTTGTCGAATCTGTGAAAACCAGTCAACTGCGAATCCCTGTAAAGCAGGGAGATTATTTGATATAGATTGCAACTTCACCCCATCTGCTGCTGTCTTATCTATGAACTATTCACAGTCGATCATTCCTAATATTATCGCAGAATTTTGAAAGACCGGTGACGCAAGTCCAGTAACGAAGAGCGTTTATGCACCGATACATATACAGCACGTTACGCAGACTCATTGAAGCATAGGAAGTAGAGATACGCTTTGTCTTGCGTTCATCGATATAAAGAAGGCTCGATTATGGAAACAGAAAGCGGTGTCATATGAATTTCGGCAACCGATTGTTCCCCAGTGTAAGGATTTGTGAGCTCTCTACAGACAAGTTTTACGATCAAATGTCATCAACTAGTCAGTGATCTTTGGCTCTTTATAAGGAGAGAGCGTTAGTAAATAGAAAAAATTGTGCTTCAGAAAGTGCAGCGCTAGAAGTGAATTAGCTATTGTTCTCGATCGGGGTTCGCATTGTCGCATAAAGCAATTCGATCGGAAATAAAATATTGGTGTTTGGGTTTTACTTTTTGATTAGGAGACATATACTTCAATGTCTGCCCACTTCTATAGCAATTATTATCCAAATGAAAACTGCTTTGTGTTGACCTCTCATAATGTTTGCGCTTCAATACTGCCTACGCACGCAGCGGCTTGATACTGTCCTTCGCACGCACTTTATTAGCCTAGAAAAAGAATAAATTCGCTCCAACGTTTATTGAATTGCCGATTTGATAGTAAACATTAGAGAAGACACTTCAATTGCCTCCAGTAAACATGCTCGTGCTGTGCTCGCCAGTACTAATGAGCAGAGTCCAACATTGCCATTGCAGTTGTTCGGACCGGCAGGGCACTGGCTAAAACGCTCCAATTGGGTAGATGCTTGTTCCAACAGTGTTGACACTAAAAAGGAGAGTTGAATGTAGCGGCAGTTTAGGAATTCAAAATGGAGCTTACTGGTCTCTGTATAAGCAGGATGTGAAGTAGAATCCGTTACATCTCTGTGTTGCACATCCAATTTCTCTGTTATTACCCCAGACGATCTGAATTTCATTAGAGTTCTGCGTAAGCTCCATGTGTATGTTATGAAATCTCCTCTTAAACGTTGGGCCATATGTCGGGTGTGAACCCAGGTTGAGTTCGGTGTCAGACTGTGAATCGCGGAGAACGAGCGATGCACCAGTGATTCAGACGATGTACCAGAGGGCATGAGAGATTCAGGTCGCTGGTACATCGTTCGAACTACTGAATTTGCAAAGTCTGCACCGGCCTTACCACAAAAGAGGTCGTTGCATAAGCTGAAGAAGTGCTGCAGTCCCGGACGAATGCCGAAAGCAGAACACATCTCCAAGGTATTTTCAGAACTGATCACATCTCCGCTTTCAAAGTTAACACCTCGAAATCACACTCAACACTTGGCCAGATCCTCTAGCTTTAAGGTAAAGCAAACCTTAGTCATGTGATTCGCCTACATAGTTTTGCATCCAATATGTGAAGACCATATTTGAAGGAACTCCATAAATTGCAAGCTCGGCTTGCCATGTTGCTATCGCCTGATGTGATTTTTGATTGGAAAATTGTATGAAGCGAGTGTGAAAAAGCGAATGTTAGAATAGAGATTCAGTCCTGGATTCAGTCCGACTTACATTCTGAATGGCTCCTAATCTATCTGTTGCTGTCGTCCAAAGAACATGGATGTTTTCTTTCCAGCCAGGTCTCTGCCAGGAATACGATTGAGTTCGGCTGCAGCTTCTTACATGCGCATGGGCGTAAGCTTCTGCCCAGCAGTTGTATCTCTGAATTGTATGAAGAAGATAGAATATTGCTACTTATTCGTGAATCGTGTTGATG